CGGCTTTGTATGCATCTTTTACGTTCGTGTGAACACGGTCCAGCGTCTTGTCTCCACGTGTCGGAATTGTCACATGTTGATTAAAGCTTGGGAGACAGTCCTTTAAATTCACGTGGTTAAAGTCTCCGGCTACCACGTAAAGAGCCTCGGGGTGTTTGCTCTGCAGCGAGCTGATGATATCATGTAGCTCCTGCAGTGATTCATTAGCATTAGCATCCGGAGGAATGTAAACAACTGTGATAAAAGTCACTGTGAACTCGCGGGATAGATAATGTGGCCGACATTTCACTGTTATTTGCTCCAAAGCCTTCGAGCATGAGCTATTTACAACAGTACAGTTCGGGCACCAACTTTTACTCACGTAAATGCATACTCCGCCTCCCCGTGATTTCCCCATTAGCTCGCTGCAGCGGTCTGCTCCAAAGAAAAGTCTGTCATCCAGCTAGAAGACTGTATCCGGCGTTTTGCTTGTTATCCACGTTTCTGTGAGGCAAAGCACCGCACACTACTTCTTCTCTTCTGAGGCGCCCGCTCTCAGACGAAGTAAATCCACCTTGTTGTCCAACGAGCGGACATTCGACAGAAAGAGAGACGGCATGGGGAGTTTACCGGCTTTAGCGTTAGCTCGTAGCCTAACCATAACCCCCGCCCGGCATCCTCTACCCTTAAGCCGGGAGCAACGCTTCCTCTTCTGCCTGCTGTAATGCCTCTACTGCAGCTTCCAGGTAGATGACTTTAAGGTCTGCATTCTGCTGAGCGTAGTTTTGAGTTTGTTGCTGATTTCTGCTATATTTCGTGGCAAATACGCTCCTATTCTCATCAGTTCGGTTCGGCTATAGTTCACATGCATAAATCACGCGGAGTCAGGCACCGAGTCAATATCAAAACTTCTAAAAACTGGGATGGTACCGGGAGCCTGTGAAGCTGCTACTGCTCTGAGCGTGGCCATCTTGGAAGGACAATGTCAATGTCACATTGACAGGGACAATGTCAGGGACAATGACATTGACAATGTCAATGTCATTAGCTATGTTTACATGGACATAAGTAATCGGATCAAACGGCCCTTGGGAATAAAAATACGCCATGTAAACACCCTGTTTGGATTGTTTTTTGTTTATTCAGCATCATCCGAAATAATTTGTGATCAGAACGAAATGGGTGGTTTACGCCGATTCATAACCCGAACAGTGTCCATTTTAATCTGGTTAATCTGTTCGTTTTTATCTGATGGTGAAAAACTGACCTGATTGTGCATCCGCGACTTTGTCATTTCCGCCTGGCTAATGCTAATAATATTAGTATATCGAGGAAGAAAACTGGTCGGTGAGCGACACAAGATTTCTACTAGAAACTTTCAAAGAGCTCAAAATGTTCTGTATCACCTGTAGCTCAGACATGGAGTGCAGTAACGTCTCCACCGTCATTAAAACCTGTCGCAGGTCCATTTTGGGTGCTCAGGTTTGTTTTATGTTCATCCCGGAAGTAAACGGGAAGTAGAACTTCTTCTTCTGTGTTTGTTTAAGGAGAGTTTACCACTATGTGCATGTCAGTACTTCTGTTCAGAACAAAGCCCGCTGCATGTAAACGCTAGTCATGAACAGATTGTGCCCATGTAAACGATACTTTTGAATTATTTAATATGAAAACATTTCAATCCGGCCAAAAAATTTTGCACGTGTAAACATAACTATTGACCCATCCTCCAAGGTACACGCACATTAATGAGGCTTCCTGTTTAAATAATCAAATGTTAAAAAAGTTGCAAAATTCTTCAGATTCTTCAGATCAGTTAATGTATTTTACGCCTCGTGCACAGCACAGACTTTGTTCATTTCAATAATGGGAAAAACACGGAGGATTTCTTATGATGCAGCTTTCAAATTAAAAGCCATCGATCTGGCTGTCATAGAAGGAAACAAAGCTGCCACACGTAAGCTCTCCATCAACGAGTCGATGATCAGGCGCTGGAGACGGCAGCGTGAAGAACTGACTCAATGCCAAAAAAACAACAAAAGCTTTCTGGGGAAAAAAGACAGATGGCCCGAACTTGAAAACATTCTGGAAGACTGGGTGAACACAGAGAACAAACAGCCGTGGTATTTCCACAGTGCAGATCCGATTGAAAGCAAAAACAAACATTCGCCACCGAAAACAAGATTGAAGATTTTACTGGTGGGCCATCGTGGTGTCTGAGATATGAGACTTAAAGGACTTTCCATCAAGGCAAGGACGACTTTGTGTCAGCAACTCCATCCCAACTACGAGGAAAAGCTTACAAACTTCTGCACTTTTACTCAAGAAAAGATGGAAGAAAATTCCATCGGGCCAGATGAGATCATAAATATGGATGAAGTGCCTTTAACATTTGACCTGCCGCTCACTAGGACAGTTAACAAGAAAACGCTGAAAACAACCGGGCATGAGCGAATGCATTTTACGTGCATTCTAAGCTCTACAGCATCCAGACCAGAGGCTGCAACCTTTAGAATCAAAAGAGCCATTTTTATGCCTTGCCTCTGTCACTTACAATGTTTCCAAATATCTGGCGTCTGTACTCATCCCTTTAGTTGGCAGCTCAGAACACCACATACAGAACACCATGGACTTTGTGGATAAGGTGAGGGATGTCATCATGGAGACTGATGAAACAATGGTTTCTTGATGTCACATCACTCTACTTCCTGTTGAGGATGCAGTAGAGGTGGTCAGTTTAAAATTAAAATCAGACACCACTCTGAGCAGCAGGACCACGCTTTCCACAGAACAACTGTGTCAACTCTTGAAACTGTGCCTGCAGACAACCTACTTCACATATGGGGAGCAATATTATAGGCAGAAACATGGGTGTGCTATGGGGTCTCCAGTTTCTCCTATTGTTGCCAACCTGTACATGGAGGAGGTAGAAAAGAGAGCCTTGACGTCCTTTTCAGGGACACCACAAAGTCATTGGTTCAGGTATGTTGACGACACCTGGGTTAAAATCAAATCTCAGGAAGTCCAACATTTTACTGACCACATCAACTCTGTGGATAAATACATCCAAGTTCACACGAGAAGATGTAAAAAATGGCAAGTTGGCTTTCTTGGACTGTGAGGTCTCAGTCTCTGATAGAGGACATTTGCAAACTGAGGTGTACTACAAACCCACCCACACAGACCAGTATTTGCAGTTTGACTCCCATCACCCTTTGGAGCACAAGTTAGGAGTCATCAGGACTCTGTACCACAGAGCAGACAGGCGTCCCCACTAGCTCAGGAGCCAGGCAGAAGGAGAAATCCCACACAAGACAGGCTCTAGAGCAATGTGGATATCCTAACTGGGCCTTCCTGAAAGCAGAGAAGAAACCCAAACAGGACTCCAGTCAGCCAACAGGTGAAAAGGAGGAACCCAGACCCAGACCAGTGGTCATTCCATATGTTGAGGGAGTATCAGAGAAACTGAGACGTTTATTTTCTAAACATAACGTCCCAGTGGCTTTTAAACCCCAAAATACATTACGGCAAAGACTGGTTCATCCCAAAGATCCAGTCCCCCGGCACAAACAGAGTAATGTTGTGTATGTTGTTCAGTGTCAGGAGGGTGATCAGTCTTACATCGGGGAAACTAAACAGCCACTGGCCAAAAGGATGGCCCAGCACAGAAGATCAACATCATCAGGCCAGGACTCTGCGGTCTACACTCATCTCGAGGTCAGAGGTCACTCTTTCAGGGATGAAGATGTTCACATCCTGGACAGAGAGGAACGATGGTTTGAGAGAGGAGTAAAGGAGGCCATCTTTGTGAAAAGAAATCGTCCATCATTAAACAGGGGTGGAGGCCTCCGGGTTCAACTGTCCCCCTCTTACAATGCTGTGATTGCTAGTATCACTCAACCCCCTGTGAGTAGTAAACAGCCATCAGGTGCTAATGATCCATTGTTAGGCTGATGGTCCTTCTTGAGCATGTGAACAGCTAGTTCTGGATGTCAACAGCAAACTGGTTGATCCACTCTGAGAAGGTGCTATTTAAGAGACTGAGCTGAACACAGCACCTCAGACTGAGGAAGTCTTTGGGATGAATGACAAAACATTTCTTCTTTTTTTGTCTTTGTTTTTTGAACGTCCAGAGGACCAGATTGAACTTTTTTAGACAGCTGCATGGTCATTCTAAAAACATCATTCATAACACTGCTGTGTAAAATTAAACAATAAAAGTCAGGATCCAGTCGGATCATATGGACAGTGAACAAAAGAAGAAGAAGAAAGTGACTCCTAATCCCAATATGAAAAAAGATATTTTAAAAAGTGCAAGTCAGGGGACGGATATTACAAGGGATTTCAATAATCCTATACCTCCCTGTAGTTCTATTAAATCCATATGAAGAAATGGAGGGAACATGTTTAAATCTACCAAGAGCTGTCCGTCCCCACTCAATGAGCGACAGAGCAAGAAGGAGAGTAGTGAGAGAGACCACCAAGACACCTGTGACCACTCTGAAAGAGTTACAAGCTTCTGGAGCTGGAATGAGAGCGACTGTGCATACAACTGTTCCCTGGGTTCTTCAACAGCCTAAGCTTTATGAGAGACTGACAAATGGGAAGACACTTGGAAAAAAAACACAATTTTTTAAAAATCTCAACTAGAGTTTGGCAAACTCTTTTTGAGATGTAATATATTATTACAAATGTACTAATTTTTAATCGGTCTCATTTTTATATTTCTTTAATCAGTATTACACTGTAAAAAATATCAGCTCTTGATTTACATTACAGAAGTTTTTTTATCAAAAGGTCCATTTTTAATTGCCATGACTGACTTTTGACAATAAAAACATAAACCACTAAAAAGATGAATACTTTTTATAAGTACTGTAAAATGTATTTCAGCCATTTTGTGGTGTCTAATTTTTTTTTATAAATGTCTGTTTTTGTGTTGTCCTTTATTACCTTTACACAAACTCAACATTAAATATCGATTTAGCCTAATATAATTTTTATACATGTGCACATCAATCCAGGTGCAGACTCTGAATGAGCAGGAGTGGGAGCGCATGCAGCAGGCTAACGTGTTGGCTAATGTGGCCCATGCTTTTGAGAGTGATATGGACGTCTCAGATCTGGAGGAAGACCGGGAAACTATCTTCAGCTCAGTGGACTTGCTGTCCCCTGCTGGCCAGGCTGACGCACAGACCCTTGCCATAATGCTGCAGGAGCAGCTGGATGCTATCAACAATGAAATCAGGTACAAGCTGCTGCACAAAACAATTCAGAGAATAAACACACAGTAGAACTTCACACTAATGGAAAAATGATAGGACTATATAGAAGTGAGTTGAAGTTTCCATCAAACATTCTAGAAACAATAAAAATTCACTGCTTTCACATCTTTGCTGTGCTACATTTTGCTGAAGGGCTGAAATGTCTGCATCAAGACATTTTAAACTCTTCAATCAGCTAAATTCAGCTAAAATGGGGGGAGTGGTGGTGCAGAGGTTAGAGAAGGTGGGCCTGTGATCGGAAGATCACCGGTTCAAGCCCTGGTACCGACAACATCAAAAATTGTGGGTGGGGTAGGTGAAGCACTCACACCTGCCCCCACCCTCATTCGCCCCACTCTGGGCTTATGAGCAAGGCCCTTAACCCCCATCTGCTCCTAAACAGGTCTCTCTTGAAAATGAGCTCTCGTAGCTCAATGAGACTACCTGGATAAATAAAGGGTCAATGAAGAAAAAGAAGTCTCCCTTGAAGCTGCAGTACAAACGTGCTCTGAGAAATATGTTTAAGAAGCTTCGTGCTTTCTGGAGACGAGCTTCACACAATTCCTGTTCTGGAGACACACGGACCACAGCCACGTCTTTCTGGCTCCACACAAGGTCACAGTGGTTTGATGATGTACCTGTGCATAGTATGGATGATGTTTCTTCAGGTGAACTTCACTGCCTGCCTCCACGCCCTGCTGGATGCTGCATGTCCTATGTTTGTAAGGAAACTTTCTCAAGGCAGCAGCATCACACATTGAGTCCATCAGGAGATGCTCCAAGTTCAGGGAAGTTGGTGTTTATGATGAAACCACATTTAACTTTTAGATTTTTGTACTGCTAGATGTAATTTTAATGTAGGCCTTTTGAGCATCATCCTCATGATTCACACTCCATTTTGTTTGCACTGAGTAGACACAGTGTTTTATATATATATATACATATATATATATATATATCCAATCCAACTTTATTTATAAAGCACTTTAAAAACACCCATACAGGACCAAATTGCTCTATGGACAAGTTAAAAATCACAAAAGGGAATAAAATATAAGAAAATAATAATAATAAAAACATAAACAGCTATGTAATAAAAATTGAAACAGTAAAAGGAGTATCAAATAAATAACAATAGTAAAATTAACATCTCACATGGTGCCAAAAGCCTTGAAAACATATGGGTTTTAAGATGGGATTTAAAAACCGACAGCGAGGAGGCCTGTCTGATGTGGAGAGGCAGACCGTTCCATAGTTTAGGAGCTGCTACAGCGTAGGCACGCTCATATCTAAACTTGAGCTTTGTTTTGGCCACACTCAGGAGCAGCTGATCAGCTGACCTGAGAGCATGTGAGGGGGTGTAAGGCTGTAGCAGCTCGGAGAGGTAGGGTGTAGGGTGGGGCAAGACCATTGAGAGATTTAAAAGTAAATAAAATAATCTTAAAACTGATCCTAAAATGTTTGGGCAACCAGTAAAGTGAGGCAAAAATGGGGGAAATGTGCTCGTGTTTACATGTGCCAGTTAAAAAAACGTGCAGCAGCATTTTACACCACCTGAAGACGGGCAATGGAGGAGCTACTAACCCCCACTTAAAAAGCATTACAGTAATCCAGCCTAGTAGTCACAAAGGCATGAATTACTGTTTCAAAGGGCTGACGTGAAAGGATGGGCTTTATTTTAGCTAGCTGCCATAACTGGAAAAAGCTTGATTTAACAACTGAACTTAACTGACAAGCTTGTTATCCATTTTCACCCCAAGATTTGTAACGGTGGGCTTAATGAACAGGGCGAAGAATCCCAGATGTACAGGAGGGGGGCCAGTGGTACCACCAAAAAACATCACTTCTGTCTTTTTCTCATTGAAATTTAAAAAGTTTAGAACCATCCAGGCTTTTATGTTGCCAAGACACCTGCGCAACGGATTGACAGAGTGCAGATCTGTTTTTTGAGAGGAACATAAATCTGACTGTCATCAGCAAAACAGTGGAAGGAAATACCATGCTTCCTAAGTATGGAACCAAGTGGAAGCAAGTACAGAGAAAATAGTAGTGGGCCCAGGACCAAGCCCTGGGGGACCCCACATGAGAGGTGAGCAGTGGAGGACACAGTCACCAAGACTAAAACAAAAAGTTTGGTTTGTCAAGTATGACCTGAACCACTCCAGTGCTGCACCCTTGACACCCACCCACTGATTCAAGCGGGAGATTAAAAGTTCATGGTCCACTGTATCAAATGTGGCAGTTAAGTCTAAAAGCACAAGAACAACACAGTCCCCAGAGTCAGTTGCTATAAAAGTAATTAAAAACCTCTTAAAAGAGCTGATTCTGTGCTGTGTAAGGTTTTAAAACCAGATTGGAAAACCTCAAGGATATTATGTTTCTCCAGAAAAGCCATTAATTGGTTAAAAACTATCTTGTCAAGGATTTTTGAGATGAAAGATAATTTAGATATATGCCTAAAATTTGCAAGAACTGCAGTATCAAGTCCTGTTTTTTTAATCAGAGGTTGCACTGTTGCATGTTTGAAATTTTGAGGGCCCACACCTGAGGACAAACTGCTATTAATTAGTGTTGAAACAGAGGATCCTATAGTGGGAAGAACTTCTTGAAATATTAAATAGACAAGGAGGAATCACATTATCTGGAGAACCTGTGGGTTTTAACTGACCGACAGTCTTTTGCAAGAGGGAGAGAGAAACAGGCACAAACCTGTTATAGACAGCACAGCAGGGAACAAAAACTGGCGTATCATGTGCAGAGTGTAGGATTGAAGCCCTAGTAGAGGCAACCTTATCAATAAAGAAGTGAAGTAAATCTTCACACACAACAGGGGAGGGCTCAATACAGTCAGTGTGTGGGGCGTTAAGAACAGAGGCAATGGTCTTAAATAAAACACGAGGCTTATGACAGTTCGATAAAATTATTTCGGAGAAATAATTACATTTAGCATCATTTAAAACTTTCTGATAACGATGCCAGCTGTTGCTTAAAATTTGAAATGATGCCTGCAGATTGTCACTTTTCCACTTTCGCTCAGCTCTACGGTACTCGTGTCGAACAGCACGAGTTTTATCATTCTGCCAGGGCTCAGATTTTGTCTTAGTCAGTCTGTCCTTCAGTAGAGCTACGGTGTCCAAACCAGACTGGCAGATGAGATGAAACCATGAACTGATCTCCTCTGGATCCTTGTTAGTACATTCAGTGACACAATTGTTATTCTGATTGAAAGCAGTTGAGAACTGAGCAGCAGTGGAAGGGTTAATGATGCGACAGCGTCGGACAGCAGCGCGAGGTTTAACTGTGTTATGAGCGATAGCAGCTTCAAATAATACAGGTATATGATCAGAAAATGCTGCGTCACAAACCTCCAAGTTAAAAACAGGCAAACCAAAAGATAAAACAAAATCAAGTGTGTGTCCACGTTCTTGTGTGGGACCAGACACCATCTGCACACGATTAAAAGAGTCAATAAGGCGTAAAAAGTCTTACCATTGGCTCATCAGGACAACACAAAAATCCTCAACAATAAGCACACAGTCATATTTAGGCATCATTTCAGCCAAAAAGTCAGAGAAGTGACTTAGAAAGTCCTTATTGTATTTTGGTGGCCGATAAACCACACCACACAACACAGTGGAAGAGCAACACAGTCCAAACAAGCTCAGTTCAAAGCTGGACAACGAGGATGGAAGTGATAGTTGCTTACATTTATAGTGACTCTTAAAAACAGTGACGAAGCCTCCACCTCTGCCCGACAGCCGTGGGGAGTTAAAAAAGCAGTAGTTCTGAGGCAAGAGTTCAGTGAAAGCGCTGGACTCACCAACATTCAGCCAGGTCTCTGTCACAAAGAGAAAGTCCAATCCTCGGCATGTGAAGAAATCCTTAAGAACACAAATGTTATTCACTAGCGATCTAGCATTTACTAAGGCCATCCTGGCAGGAACCAGCGACTTTGAGGCATCAGCTGACCGGGGAGCCAGACTTACCGGTCGCAGGTTGCACAGATTTACTCTGCGGCGGCAAAGATGGGGAAAGCAGGGAGGGCGAGGCTGGAACATTTCATAAAAGCCGACAACAGGTATCAACCAGGAATCAACAGGGTCCAGGAAACGCAGAGAAAAAAGATGTGAGACGTCGCTCCAATCGGGGTCCAAGAAACTTTAGAGAAACGTCTGAAACTGGTTTTCAGCTTCACCAGCTGGTCGCTGCTCTTACCTCGGCGGCGGCGTTTACATCCGAGAGGTGGAGGTGGGGCTCAGCAGAGGTGAGCTGGGATCAGCGACAAAAATGGGGGCAAAGATTTATACCCATATATATAAAAAAAAAAAAAATATATATATATATATATATATATATATAATAAAGTAATTAATCAAGAATTGAGGTCTACTTGTTGATGTTAGACGAGCTCAAGTCATTAAAAATTAGGTGTAATTAACCGTTTCAACTTGGAGCTTCATAAATCAGTTAAAACATACTTTAAAATTCACATGTTCACTCGTTTTAATAATCAATCAATTTATTCACTCGATTAAAAAAAATCGATCATCAGTTTACAAACACATTCTCTGACAACACTTATTTACATGCGTGAAGAGGGAGCAGGAAGAAGAAAATCTTGTATAGACCTGCCCCCTTTTTCAATAATTACAAAATGTCATGGCCGTATACATTAAATTAACAAAACAAGTTGCAAACAATATATCAACAACAATAACATGCATAACAATATATCACTCTTCCCATTAACAACTCAAAAGGGTACAAGAGTTGATCATTCTTTTTTTATAAAGTGTTTTTAATTGGTTTATAGTAGAGCATTTTTTTAACTCCTCATCCAAACTGTTCCACAGTTTTACTCCATGCACCGAAATGCACATTTGTTTTAAAGTAGTACGCACAGTTTTACTTTTGAAATCATACTTCCTTCTGTTATTTTTATCACATGAGCTTAAGAAAAAGAACTTTTGTAAATTAAATGGCAATAATCTCTAGCTTTAAACATAACCAATAGCATTTTTAAATTAACCAGAATCAGAATAAACTTTATTGTCATTGCACCAAGATAGAACGAGAACATGTACGTACAGTCGTCCGAAAGATGGGCGGAGTGCACGAAGCTGCGGCTATAAAAAGCGCGGCCCTCATTATTATTATTCAGAATAATATTTTGCTTAGATGAGAAAAGGGAAGAAAACATGAGGAGAGCCGGTATAAAAAAAAAAAAGGATCTCTCACTCCGTGTCCTAGGCAGAGCACAATTTGAGGCATCAAAAAAAACCTACCACAGCAAAGCAACATAAACAGACGTTATACATTTACATATAGGCAGTGAAGACATTGAATTTTAAGGGAAAGTCGTAGCATAGTCCAGAGCCCCCCGTCTCAGCCATTGTCCAGATAAGAGGTGACGTTCATCTTCAGCTCAGTTGAGGTTCTGTCACATGTCCACGGCCTTGGGGGAGGGAGGGGTGAGGAAACAGACAAAGCATCTTTGTTGTTTTCAAAACTTGCCAGGAGGAGTTGAGATAAGTCCACCGTCAAGGCCACAGTTTGGGTCAGGCAGAACTCGTGAATTGCTGTTTCTGCCTTTTTAAAGTTTAGCTGGTATATATTCCTCTGGTGGAAACTCCAAAACAGCCTAATTGATCCTTTACTCCAAAAGTCGAGCTCACAGCTTCTCCAAGATTATTTCACTTTCATGTGTGTTGCTAGAGAGTCCGCAGTCCTGATAACAGCTGCTCCAGCTCCCTGCTGCAGCTACACAAATTCAGTCTGAGTGCTGTCGACCTTCGATACATCCACACTAATTTATAGACAATCCAGAATTCACCAGCCAAACAGCAAAAAAACAGTTATCATGAATCCAATTTGTTTGCGCCGAGGTAAGATGGTCCTCCTTACTCTGACTCCTGTCAGGAGAAGTTGATCAATTTTGTTGAGACCAGCTGAACCTTCGAATTAGGAGGTATGCAGAAAAAAAGTCTTTTTAAGGGTTCACAGGATGAAAGAGTGTAAGTAGGGAAGCGTGCGGAGTGGGGGAGCCCAGGGAGACACGTCTGGTTTCACTGGTTTCAAGATACTTGATTGAATAAATAATTTGTTTGTGTGTTCTCTGGTGTCCACTTTATATAAAATTCTCATAACTTTCTTTTGTATGACTGACAACAGTTTAGTGTTGGTTTTATATGTGTTGCCCCATACCTCTAAACAATATGTCAGATATGGAAAAACAAATTAATAATATATTGTCTGGAGTATCCTGATGCATGCTCAATAATCCAGGTAGAAAAATCCAAAAAAGTTCAATCTGGTCCTCTGGACATTCAAAAAAAAAAAAAAAATTTTTTTTGAATGTCCAGAGGACCAGATTGAACTTTTTTGGATTTTTTGGAGTGTTGATAGTTCTACTACATATTCACTCTTACTCATAGCATACAGAAGGTTGATTGATTCTGAAAGAATGTACATTAATCATTTATGTAAAATTAAGGAGCCAAGAACAACGTACCTTTGTTCAAACCACAACATATTTACAATCCAGGGCTTTAAAAATGTCCAAATCGTGCCCCCAGCCGTTCATAGATTGGACAAATGCTCCCAGTGACATGTAATTCTTAAAATTATTTGCGGTGTAAGCACTGACACACACCAGGTCTGCTAAAATTACTGGGAATGTCAGTGGAGGCAAATATTACTTGGGGTCTCTGCTCCTTTTTTTTTTTTTTCAAATGGGTGACATTTCCAATTTTACCTATTTTTTCCATGTACCGTTTTTTGTCATGTAGGAGAAGACATTTGTCATTTGAAAAAGACATTGGAAAAATGTTGGATTGTATACCTGGATTATTGAGCATGAACTTTGTTGTCATCTGGGAGAAGTTTGTCACGATACCGTCCACTTTGTTTTGAGCTGCTTTTCAGCGTTATGAAGGAGGTGCAGCCGTAACACCACGGAAAAACACCAGAGTTTTTTTCTGTGGACAGGTAACATGGTGGTCGAGACAGTAACGCCCCAAACTTTATTAATATCCCTCGTTATTTACATTTAGTTGCAAAAAATCTAAATAGTTATTAAGATTAAAATTTAAATATTAGTCTGGTCCATGTGCTTCTGGACTGACTCGCTTTCTCCCTCCTGTCCTCACAGGATGATCCAAGAGGAAAAGGAGAACACCGCCATCCGTGCAGAAGAGATTGAGTGCCGAGTCGGTGCTGACGAAGGCCTGGGAGGACGCTTTCATTCTTTGAGCTCCATTCCTCCGTCACTGTGTGCAGGCTCATCGTTGAGGGCGTCCCCACCTAGCTCGGGCCACTCCACCCCCAAATGCATTTCCCGAAGCCCCAACAGAGAATTGGATCGAATGGGGGTCATGACCTTGGTAACCTGTTTTTATTTGTTCCCTTCTTTTCATTCTGAGCGGTAAATTAATCTTAATCCATGAACTAAAGTATGACTAACATAAATTCAATAATTTTATATACTGGTGTGGTTCAGGGCTATTCAACTGGTGACCAGCGGGCACTTCAGCCCACGGGTGACTTCAGTCCAAACCCCCAAAGAGTTCATAATTTTTGTAATTTTTTTTTAATTCTAGGTTTGTGTTTTGGGTTCTGTTTAGTACATTTATGATTCAATGAAACAACAAATTTAAAAGGTAGCAGATCATTGTAATACTTGGTTTATTCACATATTGACTTGAATTGCTGGATGTCTGGTTTAGTTGAATAGCCCTGGTTCAGTTGTATTTTAATGTTAGTTTTTATATAGTTTGAATTAAAAGCTACTCGTTAGTGTGAAACTTGTTTGTATGCCACTGCTCTCTGCCCATAGCAGTGTTGCTATGACCCGTACGTCATCCAGAGCTCACTCTCCCAGCAGACAGTTACTCTCTTGCCTTTTGGTGCACCTGGCTTCAGTCCTCCGCCTCAGACTTGTAACTTTGCACCTTACTTCCAGGTACTTGCAGATCTTACCCACCCTCCAAAAAAACTACTAGAGTTCCCTTTATTCTTTCTAATGACTGTTTATATTGTGGACCAAATATCCTTACTTTCTCCTGCTGTTAAAAATTGAAGCCAGCAGAACTCAGTTTACCTCAGCTGCTGTTTAAAAAGTATACACTCCCTTGAATGTTTTGCCTGTTTGTTGCTGTTAAATATCAGTTATGGTCGATGCAGATTGACTTTTTGACAAGTAAGCAATTGCATAAATATTCCCTACCTTTAAAGGGTATGTTCTAATTCCAGCCACATTTAATCTGTGACTAGGTCTAGCTGCAGGGAAACACTTGAACTTGGAATATCCTGATGCATGACCATGGAGTCTCCCGCATGTCGTTTGGCAAACTAATCAAGATTTAATCTGAGATTTCTTTAGCAGTGACATTTTCTTTGACACTCTCCCATAAAGCTTAAACTGGTGAAGAACTCGGGCAACGTTTGTACACAAATTGTCTCCTTCAGAGTGGCCACAGGTGTCTCACTGTTCTCCTTCCTGTATGGTCTCTGTTTGTGAGGACTGCTTGCTCTTAGTAGATTCACACATGACTCCAATTCTTTCCATTTCTTGATGATGGATTTAACAGAACTACCAGGAATGTTTGGTGTCTTGAAATCCATTCGTACTGCTCCACTCACTTGCATTTTGAGGTGAATTAGGACAGCCACTTTAAAGTGGGAGAATATTGATGGGAAGTGATAAATGCACTGTACTTTTATAGCGCCTTTCTATCTAATAAAGATACTCAAAGCTCTTTACAACATAATATGTGCCCTCATTTACCTCCACACACATTCATACAGCACTCTACTAGATCTCTACAAAGATGATCTGAATCTGTAGAGACTAATCAGTGCGTTATCACATTCATACACCGATGGGACACAGAGGCTGTGAGGGCTTCATTGTCTTGCCCAGGGACACTTCAGTTCAATTCAGTTTATTTATACAGCACCAAATCACAACAAAGTTGTTTCAGGACACTGTACAAAAACATTCACATACATAGAAAAGCTAATTATTAAAGTTCTCTATCTAAGGAAGCAGCAGATTGTGTTGAATCTTCACTTCCTTGAAGTCTCCCATCCTGAGCAAGCACAAAGGAGACAGTGGAAAGAAAAACTCCCTTTTAACAGGAGGAAGGGAACTGTTTGGGTTTTTTTTGTTTGTTTTTTTAAATAACTTTTTATTAACAACGTGGGCGGCTGTGGCTGAGTGGTTACAGCAGTCGTCCTCCAATGCAAGAGTTGGGGGTTCAAATCCACCAGCAGTCACATGTTGAAGTGTCCCTGGGCAAGACACTGAACCCCTCGTTGCCTCTGATGTGTGTCCCATCGGTGTTTGAATGTGATAAAGCTCTGATTAGTCTCTTTAGAATGATTTGTTCTATTAGCTTTGTGTAGATCTAGTATAGAGCTGTATGAATGGGTAAATGAGGCACAGATTGTTGTGAAGAGCTTTGAGTATCTTGAAATAAGATAGAAAGGAGCTGTATAAGTACAGTCCATTTATCATTTAACATATAAGCACAGAACACTGCTGTGGCTGGAGCTGCCAGCTCTCATTTTTTAAATTTTTTTTTATTTGCGACCTGTCAATCAATCCAGTCGGCGACCTCAGTTTGTCCCAAAGGTAAACGCCCCTGGTCTGCGGAGCTGCTCTGTAGCTAGCTGCTCAGGGTGGACGCTTAGTATGAAGCCTCAACCCTCTGCAGATGGTGTGCACAGTTTCCACGCAGACTAAGGTCCGCCCGAGTCTGTGCGAGCCTTTAGGGACAGCTCAAGAAACCCAAGCCGACCCTAACTATAGGATTTATCAAAAAGGAAAGTCTTAAGCCTAGTTTTAAAACTGGATAATGTGTCAGCCTCACGGACAGAGATTGGAAGTTGGTTCCACAAGAGAGGAGCCTGAGAACTAAAAGATCTGCCTCCCATTCTGTTTTTGTAAACTCTAGGAACCACAAGTAAACCTGCAGTCTGAGAGCGAAGCGCTCTGTTAGGAATGGAACAATTTTTTCTTCTTCTTTCGGTTGCTCCCTACTTTAGGGTTGCCACAGCAAACTAAGTTGCACGAATACTTGGCAAATATTTTTACGTCGAATGCTTTTCCTGACACAACCACAGATCACCGAGCTTCCACAGCCCACTGTGTGGAGCAGAGAGCTGCTATCTAGGGCGCCCAGAGGAGCAGATAGTGGGGGTTAAGGGCCTTGCTCAAGGGCCCATAGTGGGGCAGGTGAGGGTGGAGGCAGATGTGGGTGCTTTACCAATCTCACCCACATTTTCATATTGTCGGTACCAGTAGTTGAACCAGTGATCTTCTGATCACAGGCTCACCTTCTCTAACCTCTGCGCCACCACCCCTCTAGGAAAATATGGAACAATAACATCTGTAATATAAGATGGAGCTAGGTTGTTGAGAGCTTTGTAGGTTAGAAGTAAGATTTTGAATTCTATTCTGGATTTGACAGGGAGCCAATGGAGAGAAACTAAAACTGGAGAGATATGATCTCTCCCAGTAACTCCAGTTAAGACTCTGGCAGCAGCATTTTGGATCAACTGAAGACGTTTTAAAGAAGTATTTGGACACCCAGATAATAAACCATTGCAATAAAACAATTTTAAAAATTAAGAAATAAAATCATATGGCTGAAATAAAAAGAATAAATGAAATATTTGAGGGGGTGAATATTTTTATAGGCTCTATATTTAGGACCACGGTCTGTTGTTGGGCTTTAAGTATTGTCTACTGCCCTGCGCACAGTCATGGTGTTTTATGAGCTTTCTTTCAAACATAAAGTAACTAATTACAATTAAATGTAGAAAAAGTGCTTCTTTTTTTACATAAAGCAGCAAGGTAAGAATTATGTGAACCAACAAGAGTCAACACCTGAAAAAACTTATCTGGGGTGTACTTATGATTTCAGCAATGCTTCTGACTAATGGGGTGGGGCTGAAAAATTGTTACTGGGACCTGCCAACTGGGCAGCCGGGCACATTCTGGCTTCAGCTTCTGAGTTGTGTTTTGGAGGTCTAGATATAAACAGTCTAAGGTTCTTCTTTGAGTGGGTGCCGTCTGCAACTTCTTTCTGGTCCTTTTCATGACTTCCACTATATAGAAAACCTTTCTTGATTATTGTCTTTGTGGATGCTCGTTTTTTGTTTTCTTTCAGCAATACACCTTTATTTGGTGGTTGTTTCATCACAAGAAAGAATTTAAAGAGTTTGTTTAACTTTTAATAACATCAAATGGGACATTTGATTAATAAAAATAGGATAGCATTATTAGTGCATTTAAATACATAAAAATAAATTCAAATAATTTTATAACTATTTTTATTTACAAAGTGTTTTTCTCACCTTGGTGTATTCTTTTGGGCTCCTTTTTGCATTGAGTCTGTCAATTTCGTTGTCTAGTTTGTCTGTATGTTACCATTTAAGCCATTTTAATGTTCAAGTCCTTGAAGCAATGTGAGAGTCCAAAAATTGGAGTCTTAGAGAACAACCCACATAATGTAAATGTTTATTAGTCGACCTGTGATAATAGAGATAAAAGTTGATCCAGTTTGACACTGAAATGATGTTTATGCCTTTATATAACTTTGTTATATTCAGAAGGGTGATAGTTCAACAACTATAGCACAGGTAGTACTTTGCACAAAACAAAGTAACTTAAAGTTGCTATTTTTTATTTGCCAGACAGAGTTATCTCTTAAACCAACTTTATTACATTAAAATTGATTATATTTGAAAGACTTCAATGCATGTAGTCATTTATTACAACTGCAATGAGTTACACGCATTACAATTAGAGCGGTTATTTGTAAGCCTGACCCCACCCGACCCGAATTCGGCCATGATAATGCACTGGATGGGCAGGCCGGTGTCGGGCTTTTAATTGGGTCAGGATCAGCCACGATCCAATTATATGATAAAATGGCCTGCCATACATCCACCAGTCGCATGCGGCCATTTCACCGCGAGCCTTGAAAGAGGTAAAAAGTTCAGTTAAGCTTCAGATGGGACTGTACTGCCAGGAAGTGATCCTTCGCCCAAATGGACGTTCATTCTGCTGCTGCGCTCAGCGCCGACCACCCAAACAGGTGAGATCCCAAAGCAGACGTGTCAGAGCAGGGTCCGTGTCCGAATAAATCAGAATGCAGTGGAAACAGGGATTAAATGTTCTTTTACGAATGTTCTTTTACGAATGTTCTTTTACGAATGT